CCTAGGGAGGATTTTAGGTAGGGATAATTTTAAAAGTATTTTAATCGGAAACACAGCTGGTAATATTTGGTTTTAATTCGGCTTTTATCGGGGTTTATTTTTTGGATTTCTGTATTTTTGTATTTTGTATTTTTTGTATTTTCTGTATATTATTTGTTTTAATATGCTGTGAACCGCCCTGAGTCCTATGGGAGAAGGGAGGTATACAAATTAAATTATCTATCTATCTATCTATCTATCTATCTATTATCAATCATATACATACTTTTCCTTTTAACACTCTTTCATGCTTTCTGTATGAGAAAGGCATCTCAAAATGCTTCTCCATACCCTTCTTTCTAAACTGTCTCTCTTCTTGTTTTACACAAGTCTTAAGTACCTCCTTGCAACTGCATTCAGCTTTCATGTTTCTCTTTTCCATAGCATGGCAGCTATTCTCATAGCTATTTTCATTTTTTTAAATAACCATCATTCTTTACAACAGACCACTCATTACTTTGCATTTGCACATTTTCAAATCTCTCCATTCTTTTCCCTATATTTAATAAATATTACATCATATTTTGCCATTTATATGTGACTTGCAATTGTTTGCTCTATTTTTCTTGTGAAACTTGACTTTCTTGATTTTTGATACATTAATTTTCAGATCAGTACTCTGCATTGCATCATACCATCTATCTGACATTCATTACAGAACATTTGAGTTCTGAGCTACAATAGGGCATCATCTATGTACAAAGGACACACACCTTTACATTCCCAATGAACACATCAATAGCATCATCACAAGCATTCCTTATACATTTATCCAAAAATCATTAAACAACCAAGAGTGTGCCACAGATCTTTTTCTTGTTCCTTGCTCAACACTGAACCATTTGCTAAGCATTCCATATAATCTTATGCATGCATCATTTTCATCCAATACCACTTTAATCTCATTCAGCAGCCAACTTTTATGTCTTCATTTGTGGAAAACAGGCCATAAGTCAAGCCCATTTATTTCATTATACATTTTCACTAAATTAACCAATAAATAAATATTATTACTTTCATATGTTTGTCAATGAGCAATTGAAGAGCAAAATTTGATCCATATACTCATTGCCCAGTGTAAAGATGGGCTGCACTTCCTAGATTTGATTGCTGTTGTAACTTGCTTAATACTTTCCCAGCTATATTTAACGAGGTAATCCCTGTCTAGTCTTGCAAACACTTTTATTACTCTTCTATATTACCAGTAATGGCCTTCTTTCAGTAGTCCAGCACAGATGCAGGCTTCATTAAACAAATTGCATAGCTGCTTCTTTAAAAAATTACATCCATTATTCTAATGTTATTTCATTTATAAGACTTTTCCTGCAGTTTTGCCATTTTTAACATATCCACATCATTTATGCCATCTTTTTCAACATATTTATAGATTATTTATAGCATTCTTTTCAACTGTACTCTTTAACATCATTATCATCGCCAAACTAATCTCTAAAAATATTCTTTCCAGGACTGTCTCAATTTCATTCCAAATTATTTCATCAATTTTATTTTGAGTTCCATTCTTTCTGGTGAATGTTCCTTATTAAGCCTTTTTTCACCCACATTTTTTATTTTATAATTGTTCTGAATCTTCTCTTCCTCTTAACCTTAAGGTTGCTATCTTTGATTACGTTCTTTGCAATTATCTTCTCCTCTCTAGACACATTGTGTATTTGAAACAAATTATCTTCTCCTAAGCACATAGAGTACATAGCTGTCACCATTCTCATTCATTCTTATATCTCTAAATGTTCCAATCAGTTTTTCGGACTTTTGTGATCTCAGTCCCGTTCACGTCACCTAACAGAATATTTTTTCCACTTTCATTTTGAACATACAACGATTTTTCCTTGACGTTCATCTCTGATTGTTACATTATTTTTTGTACACCACCCAGACTCACATAGACTAGACTAGACTATAGACTAGACTAGACTAGAGCTAGAAGGGACCTTGGAGGTCTTATATAGTCCAACCCCCTGCTCAGGCAGGAGAACCTATACCATCTCAGAAGTGTCCAGTGTCTTCTTAAAAACCTCCAGTGATGGAGCACCCATGATTTCTGAAGGCAAACTATTCCACTGGTTAATTGTCCTCTATTAGGAACTTTCTCCTTAATTCCAGGTTGCTTCTCTCTTTGATCAGTTTCCAACCATTGTTTCTTGTCCTGCCCTCTGGTGCTTTGGAGAATAATTTGCCCCCCTCTTCTTTGTGGCAGCCTCTCAAATACTGGAATATTGCTATCATGTCACCCCTGTTTCTTCTTTTTCTTTAAACTAGCCAAACCCAGGTCCTGCAGCCATTCTTCATATGTTTTAGTCTCCAGCCTTGGCTATATAAATGTGATAAATAAAAACAAATAAGTAAATAATCACTCACTGAACCACAGCACACAATTAGTCAACAATCTATGAATTCCTACATTCATACACACCCTTAAAAGTCTTAATGACACCATTTTATACTTTCTGACATGTAGTTTAGCCCTTTCATTCATAACTAATGCTATATCTTCACTTTCCACAGGTATTTATCCATTCCACACCACAAAGATCGGACCATATATGGTTAAATCTATTATATTCTTCCCCTTTCTATTAGTTTAGTAGAAAGACAATATATCACTCTTCATTCATTCATAAATTCATTCATAATATTCTTTACCATTTGTTCTTACAATCAAAGTCCAACATTCCACTTGCCAAGATTGTTACTATAAATATAAGGATTGAAACTGTTGAAGCAAGAATATCTCATTCTCACAAGCCACAGTGTAAATAAGTAAAAGCAGACATTTTCAGGACTGATAAAAGAACACTTCCTGATAAAAAAAAAAAGGGTGGGGGGGAGGGAGGAAGAGACCCAAGGATTGGAACTAATGTATATTTTATATACAATACATTATATAATGCCACAATCATAGTGATACACAATGAATTATGATTGTCATTTTTCATGCCTAGCTACCACACAGATTAGGTTTTCTTTATGACTGTGGTGCAGAAAGATAAATAGTCAACATCCAAAAATAATAATTAAAATCTAGAGAAAAACCAGCAATTTAAAAAATAAAGCAACAGACACAGCAGCGGTCATAAATATGAGTCAGTTGCCAAGCGCTTGAATTTTGATCACATGGCCATGGGGATGCTGCAAAGGTCATAACTGTGAAAAATGCTCATAAGTCACTTTTTTCAGTGCCATTGTAACTTTGAATAGTCACTAAATGAACTGTTATAAGTCAAGGACTAACAGACATATCTCTTTCTCATGCTTATATTATATATCATCTTTATTTTGAAAAAAAACTGAGGTAGAAATTAATTTTTTTTCATACTAAATACCAAAGGAGGCTTATTGACAAATAAACACACAAAGACATAGACAGTCACATACACATTCCTCAGGAATTTTAATTCTGGCATCCTAAACCAAGTCCATTTCCTGGGCCTAGTGGACTGGAATGAAAAATGGATTATTTTTCCTGGGTGGAGGTGGGGCTGGGAAAATGGAAAGCAGTGCTACTTCTGTGCAGGGATAAATCTTCCACTTCCCTCATAAACACATGGTCCCAATTATCCAAGCCAATGCTATCTTTGTACAGCTGCAGCAGTTTGAGATATTGTTTCTTTAAGCAATGTTTAAGTATTTTCCTTATATTTCTCCCCTGGGAAAAAAATCTGGGTTGTAATTGGCTTTATGCAAACAAATATATATATAAAAATAACGGAATCCATGGGGAATCTCTTGGAATACACGGAAAGGGGTGGATTAGTCAGTGCACTCACTTGTGCAATAAAACGGTTGCTTTCAGGGGCAATGAGGTAGAATATCAGGAACAGTAGTCACTGCTATATATTTCTAAGTATCAAAAGAAGCCCATTTTCAGTTTTAAAAGGACTAAAGAGTTGGAGATATTGAGTCAGTGTGAAAGGAGACTTAGCCTTCTCATCTAGTCTTTGTGTCCCATTTCAACTTTCTCATGAGAGATGCAAACATAACTAGTCCTCACTTAACAATTACTCGTTCAGCAAGAGTTCAAACTTAAGACGGCACTGAACAGGGGTTACTTACAACTTGTTCTTGAAGTTCCATCTGTCATGTGATCATGATCCGGGTGCACCACACTTGGCTAGGTACTTCAGCATCCTGCAGTCATATGATTGTTATTTGCAACTTTCATTGCCAACTTTCAACCAGAAAAGTCAGTGAAGAAACTCCATTGTATGTACATTGAATTTACCACTCTATACTGCAGTAGTGAGGCTACACTTGGAGTATTGCATCCAGTTCTGATTTTAAAAAAAAGATGCTGAGGCCCTAGAAAGAATGCGGAGAAGAGCAACAAAGTTCATAAGGGGATGTGAAGGCTAAACCGTATAATGAACATGGCATAGGACCTGGCTACCTCCGAGACCGCCTTCTGCCACATATTCCCTCCCATAGACCGGTACGCTCCCACAGGGTGGGTCTCCTCAGGGTGCCATCGGCCAAGCAATGTCGGCTGGCGACCCCCAGGGGGAGGGCCTTCTCTGTGGGTGCCCCTGCCCTCTGGAACGAACTACCCCCCGAGATCCGGATGATTCCGGATCTCCTTACTTTCCGCCGCGCCCTCAAGACATGGCTTTTCCAACAAGCGGGCCTGGCCTAGGGAGGATTTTAAATTGGGTTTCTTAGAAATTTTAATTACCACAACTTTAAAATATTGGTTTTAATTTGGTTTTATTCGGTGGGGTGTGTGGGTTTGTTTTTGTTTTTTAAGAATGTTGTGAGCCGCCCTGAGTCCTTCGGGAGAAGGGCGGGATACAAATTGAATAAAATGAAATGAAATGAAATGAAATATGTGATGTACATTAAAAAAAAAAAAACCTAGGCAGAACTTCAATTATCATGGCCACCATTCTGATATTTTTTAACCGCACCCTACGAACACCCCTGATATGGCCCACAGCCATCGTAAAATATCTAAAATTGTATAGTTTTTACTTAGGCAATTTGTGTATTCTATACTGTGTACATACTGAACATTTTTTAAAGTATGCACTTTTGTCCATGTGTGGACATTAAACAATAGATCATGAGGTCTTTGGAGCCAACCTAAGCTTGATGTAACTGCAAGGACTCGTGGGATTGGGTTGTGGGCTTGTAGGTGTAACTTTGACAGTCAAACGCATCCATGAACAAAGACAGGCCTTCAGGCATCTGTTAACAATTGACAGTTCCCGCCTGTACTTAACTAGCCCTTGAGCTGCACTTCTAGGAACAGTCAGGGAGAGCGGCCAAGCAGGACACTTCTAAACCTGAACCCTGGTTTTGTTCTGAATTAAATCCATTTGTTATTAAGCCAAACATGAAAAAAGCGTATTTCCTCCCCGAACATTTTGTTGTACTGGTTAATATTCAATTCTGGGATGTTTCCACTGTATATATCAGTCTGGAGATAAAACTGCATAAAACTGCTGTTCTGGCCAGGGAACTATTCCACCAGGAATGTATTTGTCTTCACCCCACAGCTAAAGCCTGTGAATATGATTCTGGAGCAAAGAGCAGCTGTTGTCAGAGCTGTAACTCTTTTGCCTTTTCAAGACTGTAAGATATTGCTACAGTATGTCTCCAAGTAAGTGCTGTCATTCAAAACAGGGGTCTCCAACCTTGGCAACTTTACGACTTGTGGACTTCAACTCCCAGAATTCCTCAGCCAGCATGGCTGGCTGAGGAATTCTGGGAGTTGAAGTCCACAAGTCGTAAAGTTGCCAAGGTTGGAGACCCCTGATTTAGAAGGAAGCAACTGGCAGAAACCGCCAGTGATGACAGCTTGTTGGGCAGAATCTGGAGGAAATGTAGGAAAGACTTGGCTATTTTACTTACCCTGCAGTAGAAGTGACAAGAAGTGGATGCTGGAAGAAAGTGGATTGTCTTGTCACTTCTGTTCAGTTGAGCGATCTCAGAGGTTTGTTGTTTGGGCAGTGTAATACTGGTAGCCCTCAATTTACAACCATAATTGACTGTGGAATTATGGTTGTAATTGGTTAAGTAGATGATTGTTAAGTTTGTGATGATTGCCATGGTTAATTAGATCACTACGTGACTTGTGCCTGAATTTATTATCTTTTTGTAGCAGTCATTAAGCAAATGCTGCAGTAATTAAACAAATGCAGTTTAGCAATGGGAGTATTTTTTCACAAACTAATAGTAAATGCCAGAAACTGGCAAACAATGCCAAAATTGTGGTCATGTGACCACAGGATATTGCAAACAGCTGTAAATGCAAGCTGATTGACAAGTTCCCAAAACAGAATCATGTGACCATGGGGGAGTGGTGTTTGCAGCCATTGGAACTCCAGAACAGGGTCGTAAGTAACATTTTGGAGGCCCGCCATAACTTCTAATGTTCTCTAAGCAACCATGTGTTAAGTGAGGACTACTGGTAAGGGAAGATTCTCAAACACATCACCTTCAGATCTCAAAGAAAAGATAGATATGAATATAAGAACAGAACATTGATTATGAATTTTGCAAAGAATCATTTGGATTGATTGCATTAATCCACTGAACAGTTTTATTTACTTCTTTAAGGTGGTACTTAGAAATACTTAATGGTGTTTCTACAATATTTCACCAGGATTGGTAGGAGAAAATCATTTTTAATCCCGTATATTTACTTCCCCTGATTCATGACTGCACAGCTCTTACTTTGGAAGAGGGAATTATCCGCTTGATGAATGGCTCCGGTCCTCATGAAGGGCGAGTAGAAGTCTTTCACGATCGACAATGGGGAACTGTGTGTGACGATGGATGGGACAAGAAAGATGGGGATGTGGTGTGTCGGATGCTGGGTTTCCGAGGCATTGAAGAGATTTACAGAATGGCTGCATTTGGACAGGGTAAGAAAATAAATACATTTCTGAGATTAAATAAGTTACACTGATGGTAGAACACACCCCAGGAAACTGATCCAAAGAATTTAATGTAAGGGTGTTAACGCAAATAAAACAAATACTATGTAGTGCCTTTATTGTAGGATGTTTTTCAAATTGGGCTATGTGACAACTTGAATAGATTTCACTAGATTCAGAGGGGACTAAAAAAAATTCTAATGAACTCAGACATCTAATCTTGGCTCAGTGCTGTTTTTCAGAAGCATCCATAGCAGGTTTTCTAAGGTCCAATGGTAAGTCTTGTCAGCTGATGTTCAGAAGCCCCATTCCTCTTGGTCAGGACTTCTGGAAATTTATAATTATTGTTCCTTAATGGTTAGGTTTTGCAGCCTGAAGAGTTCCACACTTCCATTCATTTTTTTGGAGAAGTTTTCCTGAGAATAGGGTTGTTTGTTGGATAAATCCAGGATCATAAAAAGATGATGGTAATTTTATAGAAATGTCCATGTAGGGTTCTTTGGCAACAGTACAGAAGTAGGTTTCTATTATCTTCGGGGATGTTTTCCAACTTCTCTGTTCCCGAGAGTTGATAGAAGACCTATCCAAGTACTAACTAGGTCCAATTCTGCTTAGACTTTTCAGCTCAGTTGTTTAGTTGGCACCAAAGCATAACTCTGCAAAATAATCTGAACACTTCAGAATGTGTAAGAAGTGCCAATTCAATATCCAATTAAAGGGAATTCATCAGGACTAGATGACTGATGACTCAGAATGACTGAGTCCATTCAACATGTTAAGCATATTGGGCTAATAAAACTAGGCTGCTCTGGGCTGGACAAATCTGGAGGACCACCAGAGGACAGTAGAGAGGCAGAAAACTCAGTCCTTTGGTTGATATCAACTGAGTCCCTGGGTTTTTCCATTCCATGATCTGCAACTTTAACAAAAAGCAGGTGCTATGGTAGCCTCTTTCTGCCAGCTTTACCAGGTAGACCAAATAATAAACATGACCAGATAAGCTAATTCTGCTTTATTATAAAGTACATTAACAGAATGTTGTAAGTCTGAGAGTACAGTTCTCCCACCATTTTCTTTATAGTCCAAGAAACTAGAGAGAGTCCCTTCATGAACCTCTTGCCCTACGCACTATCTAGCACATCTGGAATACTGCAGCCAATTTTGGTCACCATATCACAAAAAAGATGTTGAGAGTTTGGAAAAAATTCAGAGAAGAGCAACTAAGCCTGGGGACTAAAACATATGGAGAACAGTTGCAGGATTTGGGAATGGCCAGTCTAGAGAAAAGAAGGACTAGGCCGGACATGATAGCAATATTCCAGTATTTGAGGGGCTGCCACCCAGAAGAGGGGGTCAGTTATTCATCAAAGCTCCAGAGGGCAGGACAAGAAACAATGGTTGGAAACTGATGAAAGGGAGAAGCAACCTGGAATTAAGGAGAAAGTTCCTGACAGTGAGGACAATTAATCTGTGGAACAGCTTGCCTCCAGAAATCGTGGGCGCTCCATCACTGGAGATTTTTAAGAAGAGGCTAGACAGTCACTTGTCTGAGACGGTATAGGTCCTCCTGCTTGAGCAGGGGGCTGAACTAGAAGACCTCCAAGCTCCCTTCCAGCTCTATTCTATTCTTCAAGATTACAGTATCATATATGGCCTACAAAGATCTCCTGACCAAAGAGATACAGGACAGGTTCACTCTGCTGCCTTCTAGCTGTCATTTGGTGTGCTCAGCTCAGTTTAGATGACAGGTTTGCTTTGGCGCCCAGAGAGCTTTAATTATTCCCCGCTATAAAAACGTTCAGTTAATAAATGTTTCACTCCAAACCTGGCACGTTTAAGGCGTTCACAAATTGCTTTATTTTTGTAAGTTAAGAAAAACAAGACACTTGAGATTGCAAGTCTATTGCACAATTCTAAACGTCAGTGTAGTGATGCTCCAATATTACTCATGTTTTTCTAAATGTCCCAGGTTATGAGAAACAGGAACTGGGGAACATTTTACAAGTTCCAAGATTTAGATGAAGGTTTCTCATAAATGTTTAACTGCATAAAGAGGTTTTCCCTGTGGTGCCTTTCTAGCTGATGGGCTGGCACTGTACATGTGTTTGAGGGGATCAAGAGGTTACCCTGGCACTCTTTCCAGAGAGAGGGGCGCACAAGAGGTATTGGAGGGAAATTGTTCCACACAAACCCTATTGAGTAACACCAGAATAAATCCCATGTGATGGAAAAGGAGATGTCCTGGTTGAATCCAAAGCATAAAGCAATGTTAGCACCACTCCACTGTTTTTATTTTTTTTATTTTTTTAGAGGAGGAAAATGTTCTTATTCACATACTTCGATATTCACATGACCAGCTTGTAGAAATATGTTTAGGGATGTGATCTATCTCCAGCCATTTTACTGTTTTCAACCAGTATGTGTGCTTGCATAGGAAAGCAAATTGCTTTCCCCATGGCTGTGTTCACAAAATATGCTTAATCATGCCAGAGAAGGTGCTGGTATATATATTTCCATGACCTACCAAGCTTGGTTCATTTTAATTTTGCATAGGTTTTATGTGGCTTAGCCTATTGTTTAAATTCAACCTCTTCAGCTGGTTTATAGTTCAATGGATTATGCAAGTCATGAAAATTAAATAGGTTGTTGATAATCAGAAAATGGATGGATGGATGGATGGATGGATGGATGGATGGATGGATAGATAGATAGATAGATAGATAGATAGATAGATAGATAGATAGATAGATAGATAGATAGATATTCTGAATGTCAATACAGAGAAACCAGTTTTACTGCTAAGAAGTCTAAGAAGTAAGGCCTAAACATAATTGAGGTACCTATGTACCTCCCTTGTTTAGTCTACTAAGGATGGATTATTAAGATTACAAGAAACCTATTGCTAGTTGTTGCTCATAAACACAATTAATGTGTTTTTACATAATCTTGATTCCTTCCTGAGAGATACCTATGCTAATTTACTATAGCACAAACTAGCAACAATCATACAGCAACAACTTTCCTGAACTGAAGGCTAATTCTAGCATCTCATGGTGCAGAGTTTGATCCAGGAACATCTGTTGATCTTTCAGGCAACTTCAGAAAAGGGCTACAGGGGGAAGTATTGGCTGTCCTCCAGCTATTTTTGGAGAGATATTTCCCAAACTTATAAAATTCTGGTGGATAGGTTTCCTATTTTTCTGGTCACTTGCTTAGAAGGGGAAACTGGCAGAACTTTTCCTTGTTTTACCCAATTTCCCAGTCCATAAACTTTGCAAGTGGGTGCTTCAGAATTCCATGGGTTAGGTTTTAGGTTTTATTAAATTTATACCCCGCCCTTCTCCTAGCGGACTCAGGGCGGCTTACAGCAAGTTAAAAAACAGACAAACCATACAAAATACTAAGTTTAAAATACAATTAAAATGAAATATTGATTTTTTGCCGTTTCTTTTTAAAATTATGTTAAAAACCAAATTAAAATCAAATTAAAATCAAATTAAA